ATTCCCGTACGTCGTATGGTCGTAACACTATCATGACCTTTGCTTATTGTCACATGTGCGCCGCATTCGCGATTGTTGCCGACGCCTGTTTACAGGTGAGCCCACTATAGTTGTTATACATATCTAAAAACCGATAAACTTTTAGGCGAAAAAGGCACTATTCCAGGCCCATTTTTGATTTTTTTTGCGATATTAGGTAAAAACAGAAGCTCCTTATCCTAGGAAAAATAAAATGGAAAATCTTTCAAAGGTGGCACACTACCTTTAACTGTTGGCACTTATAATCCCATTCATTACAACAAATTTCAGACTTATAGGAGATAATCTTTTTTTTTATAAATTTAGCTCGAATGTTTGAATGGACGGATTGACAGAGCCGGAGCCCACGCTAAGCAGAGCTTGTTGCATAGACCCCGATCCCTACCGTCCGATCGCGCAATTCCGGGTATCGGGAGAATTTAGATGCCAAAGTTTAACGTGCCCTTCAAAGCCGGACACGGCCTGCCCCACTCAACTGACCAACTGGCTGCGGCTGCTCCCACCAATCGCAGACCATCCCCGTCAGGAGTCTCAAATATCGAGCGCCGGGGCGTCTCGAACCCGGGCTCTCACTACCGGGAGTCCAATGCACTACCAACTGAGCTACGGGACAGGCAAATTTATAGGAATGACAAGATTGCAGCTTTTAGAGGCATTAAAACTGAACTGAACATGACATTGTGACCTGACCTCAGGTGGCCTGTGCTTGATTTTTATGCACGATGCAAAAGTGATGTATGTAGTATGTACAATAAGATACACCGCTGCTTTCGTGGCGCTGCGCGCCGAGATTTTTCTCAACACATGAAAAAACCGGGAGTGTGGCTAATAACACCTCTACCCATCAAGACGAAGACCGGAAACCCGACCCCACCCCACTCAAAAATCCGTGGCGACGCCCCTGCCTCCTCCCCCTCCTGCCCCGTAGCCGCTGCGAACACTAATTCGTGCAAGGGGTCATTTTCACTTCTCCTTCGGACGCCGCAGCACGCTACTTCCCGCCGCGCGGGGGCCGAGGGACGCTACCTCCCGCCACACCGGATGACCATCGGGCCTGGGCGCCGCCGCGGCGGGCGATGGACGGCGCTACCTCAATTCGATCTCGAGAAAATCAATCACGAGCACACTGCCAAGTAGTGTACCAAGGTGGTCCAAATTTGTATCCGCCCCTCCTATTGGTCAACGTCACGGCCGCCACAGGGATGCATTACGTCATTCCCGTCTGCCAACGACCAATCACAGTATGGTACTTGCGTCTTCATGGTCGCTTCAAATCCTGGGGCCGAACGTAACTTGGGCCCCTGTGTAACCTTGGTCCCGGTGTAACCTGGGTACAATTGTATTCTGGTACTTATGAATGTCACCCGATGGAGACATTGGTCTTCTTGGCGAGCACCCTGGGTCCAGTTCATATAGAGTCCCTGGTCCCATTGCTATTACGTGACACTTATTGGAAAGGGCGACCCCACAATGGATTCATATAGCCACTCTTACACACCTGCACCAACGTTTCCCAAAGTGTCCCTTTGATAAGTGGCACTTTGGCAAAGTGACACTTGCCGACTGGCCTTTCTATATGAACTGGGCCCGGCCCTGGTGAGTTGCCGGGGCTGAGCCTGACCAAAGGATAGGCCGAGCAGCCCCCAAGCACTCACCGCACCCGGCTACGGGCGAGCTCGGCTTACGGGCAATCCCAAATGGGATAAAGTTTCCCGTCCAGTCCGGATCAGGGGGTTGCGGCGTGGAGGAAGATTTGAGTTTCCTGAGGATATTTTGAATACAGAAGCTCTTTATGAAACATGAAACATGTATTCTATATTATTTTAACGGTCAAAACAGCGGCCGATGTCGGTCCGACGTCGCCCCGACGTCGGCCCGACGTCGGCTGGACCTCAGCAATTGATCTCGGTTCGACGTCGGCCCGACGTCGGCTGGACCTCGGCTGGACGTCGGAACATGCGGGCATATCCGACATCCAGCCGACGTCGTGCCGAGGTTGGACCGACGTCGGGCCGACGTCGGCATACCGATGCCGAGCTGCCGACGTCACCCCGACGTCGGCATGTTTACTGGGTCAGGACTTCGCAATGGGCGCCTCTCGTCAGTAACTCTGTCAAAACGGTTCACAATCCATCATATAAGGCCTACAAGAGTGTCAGCTCCATGTAGGGGTCAGTCAAGCATAGGTCAGGGTCAAGGTCAGGTCAACCGGATAGGCACATATCCCCGAAAATCAAAACTGATATTCGCAGCCTGTGACACATGTTTAATGGGTAATTTGGGGCGTAGAACACGATGGTGACATTCATTTTATCATATGTGTACGTGTTTGGCTCAAAAAGTTCAATTTAAGAAATTCATGTATCATGGTCGTGAAGTAGTCACGAAAAATTGCCAAGATTCAGTTCAAGATTTTGGAAAATGCGCAACGATAATCAATAATCGAAGATAGCCATTTGATTGTTCATGGTATTGGCAGTCTAATAGCGTTTACGGCATGTCTGTATGTCTATTCTGTGATTTTATATGATTTTGTGAACATATGCCGTTTTTGGTCGAAAACTCAGAAATCATGACGTCACTAAAACCTCGATATCTCAAAAATTTTCCGACCGATTGTTTTGAAACTTTGTCACAATAAACTTCAATCAATTCCCTACAGGTAGCCAAAATTTGGCGCGCCTGCGGCGCGCCATTTTTATGCTATGGCCCGACGAAAAAAGTGGGGGCGTTTAACGCCCCCCCCAGCAACACGCGGGTTAACCCTCGCATGTGTGCGGCGTTTTCCAGCTTCTAATGTGTAGGGGGAGGGGGGGGGGGTCGGTCGGACCCCCCTGCCGTTCGGCCCCTGATCGAGCTAGAGCTTCGCGGAAAAAAACGAGGGTGTTGCCCGTGACGAGAAGAAGCCGATGATACCCAATTTTAAGGTCCTAGGTCATTGGTTGACCTTCCAGGTCAGGTCAATATTCCAAAAGTCGGGAAAATCGGGACCTGCTAGAACTGCGTAAAGTGAAGCTGTTATCGGGTTTTTCGGGGTGCTGATCACGAATATCTGATGTTAGTTTTGATCACAGATGATTTCTTCATGCATTTAGGCCAGATCGGGTTAGGTCAGGTCAGGTCAACCATTAGGCGTCCTATCGGCTATCCATAGTAGGTGTCAACTACCATTGACGGCGTCGTAGCATGTTACGAAGGCACTAAAACTACTTCGTAAACGTTCAAATGGATGCTAAATGCGAAATCAGCCCGATAAACTACCCTAGAAACATGTAAAGCTCGAAAAAGTGAACCGAGGTCATCAAAGGTCAATGACCTGACCTGACCTTCAGGTCCTTCACACCCACCGTGATGCATGGGAAGAACATCATTTCACACGTTTGGATGTCTACAATTACAAAAAGACTGGAAACGCGCGGATAATGTGAGCTGACACACGCCAAATCGCGAATCCGGCCGAACATGGTCTCGAGAATCAGGTCACAGGTCAAAGGTCTTTTGGGTCAGGGTCATGAAATTTTCAGAGTAGGTGTAAAACTGCACCCCCTACAAAAACGACCCCCTACACATGCGAGGGTCAATGCTTCCAAATGCACTTATCGGTCGGTACATACCTTTTTTCGACATGGTACACCCTCAAAGCTCGTAACGATTCTTCGCTCGGGTGTCGCTCCCTACCCCCCGCCCCCCCCCCCCCCCGCTTCACCGGCCATGGCTGGATTTCTGCACCCACAATATTCCAGCCGTTCCTACGCCCATGTGAGTCGGAGTCGGTCAGGAGCCCGGAGTCGGAGTCGGAAGAGCACTACCACGACTCCGAAACCCTGGTCAGAGCATGAGCTTGACCTAAGGTCAACTTATTGACCATTCAGCGTGTCTCGGCAAGAGAAACATAATGGTAGTAAAAACAAAATCTTCCGAAGGCATCACTGACGGAGGAGCGGGAGCAGGCGTGTTAATCGAGAGGCCGGACGGCGAGGTGACGGAGCTCCGCATCGCCGTCGGCCGCCTCTGCTCCAGTTACAGAGCGGAGATGATCGCGCTCCAAGCAGCTGCCGACTACCCAACAGACGACCTCGCACACGAGGAGGACCAGGTCATCTTCTGCGCCGACTCCATGGCGGCACTCGCGCGCCTCCGTGAGGGACCGGTGGCGCATTCGCCGTCGGCGTGCATCAGAGCTGTGCCGGTCACGTGGACAGAGGCCGTCAACTATCCGCACCGGGTGCCAGGACAAGATGTGTACGGCAGCGTGTGCAGGCCTCTGCCGAGAGGAGCCGGTCTCGCCAAAGGCTGCTGTTTGCGGCTTCCGGTCCCATGTTTGTGTCATACGTCTGGTCCAGCCCCGACTCTGAACCTCGTGGATCGTGTCCGCCCGTGACGGCTGCTGGCCGACAACTGGCGTCCGCCGCCGACCGGCACACAGCGAGCGGGCCACGCGCCACCAGCGGAACAGCGCGGATCGGTGGCGCAGTGGCGGCGCCAGGCACACGGAACAACGGGGCAGCGCCTCCAGCCGATCCATCGGGAAACAATGATAGTTGGGAGCAGTTTTGCTGAGTGTGCCGTTCAAAGTTTGTTTTATTTTTAAAGCGAGCAAGCAATCAACATGATCAGTTAAACGCCGTCGATAGGGAGGACCTATAAAGCGATAGCTGTGCCAGGTCTACTCCTCTACCAAGTAACCGTCTCTAGAAACTGTAGCTGCCATAGTGATAACAGGTGGCGCTTATTCAACAGGACAAAATGTGATCAGGTTTTTTATGGATGAACGCTTTAAAAAATAACTTTTCATGGTCGCAAGTAGCACAATGGTGAGAGTCAATATAAAACACAATTGAAAACAGGTCTAAACAGCCAATATATTTTCAGAATCACATGTTATTTGCGACGAAAAGTCGTAACTGACAACACAGTCCACTCAAAGCATGCATATAGGTGCGAAAATCCGCGGCGAAACCAAGACCGTACTTCTACAGGATCATTTCTATAGGTCTTATCGCGATCATTCACTCGAATTTTCGCGTGTATCAATCCACGATGAGGAGTTGCGGTGTATTCTCTTGAGCGGGAAGCGGATCAAAAGTTGTCCTTTTGGGTGACTGTTGATTATTGAGGACCGTTCCGTCACTTGCCTCACTGGCGGATCCAGGGTTGCGTTTTGGGGGGGGCCAACTCATGCGGAGCCAAACCTAGGGTACCCCCAAATCCTGTTTTCTCATCGGATTTAGGCCACTTATTTTTCGTCACAGCTCTGACACTATTAATTTTTTTTTTAACTAAAAAGAAAAATATATAAATGGTAGTCCACCCGACCCATGCCTTTATATTACTTTGTGAACACTTACCATTGCTTTTGTCGAGCAGTTAACCCGCTTCGAGTCAGTTCTTGGGTCCCTTTGCGGGCCGGGAGGTGGTAAAACACCCCCAGTCTAACTCGGCTGCTGGGCCACGCACTGATTGAACTATGTTTCATTATCGTTTGGGGGAGGGGCAAACGGGCCACTTTAGGCCTCTGGGAAAGGGGCATGGCCCTAAATGCCCCCTCCCTGGATCCGCCAGTGTAAGACACCATTGGAGCTGCAGTTGGGTACCTCAGACGTCAGGGTACGCCCTCAGATGCATACAGGGGCGGATCCAAGGGGGGGGTCACATGGGTCATGGCCCCCCCCCTTGAGGCCCGGGGGCCCAAAGACCTGCCAGGGGCACCACCGGCCTATCAGGGGTATCACAGTCCTGACAGGGGCACCACAGGACCGCCAGGGGCATCACAGGCCTAGCAGGGACACCACGGGCCTGGTGCCTCTGGGCCCTGACAGGACTGTAACGCCCCTGACAAGCCTGAAGTGTCCCCGGCAGGCACGTGGTGCCCCTGACAGGCCGGTGGTGCCCCTGGCAGGCCTATGGTGTCCATGGCAGGCCTGTGGTGCCCTTGCTAGGCCTCTGGTGCCCCTGACAGGCTTGTAATGCCCCTGGAAGGACTGTGGTGCCCCTGGGCCCTGACAAGCCTGAGGTGCCCCTGACAGGCCAGTGGTGCCCTTGCTCGGCCTGTGGTGCCCCTGGCAGGCCTCTGGTGCCCCTGACAGGCTTGCGGTGCCCTTGGAAGGACTGTGGTGTCCCTGGGCCCTGACAAGCCTTAGGTGCCCCTGACAGGCCCGTGGTGCCCTGCGAGGCCGGTGGTGCCCCTGGCAGACCTCTGGTGCCCCTGGCAGGTCTGTGGTGCCCCTGGCAGGTCTGTGGCGCCCCTGGCAGACCTGTGTTGACTGGTGCCCCTGCTAGGTCGCTGGTGCCCCTCACAGACCTGTGGTGCCCCTGGGCCTTGACAAGCCTGAGATCCCTGGCTATGACAGGCTCGTGGTGCCCCTGATAGACCAGTGGTGCCCTTGCTAGGCCTGTAGTGCCCCTGGCAGGCCTCTGGTGCCCCTGCTACCCCTGCGCCCGGAGAGGACTATGGTGCCCCTGAAAAGCCTGAAGTGCCTCTCGACAGGCCCGTGGTGCCCCTGGGCCCTGACAGGCCCAAGTTACCCCTGCGAGATCGGTGGTGCTCCTGGCAGGCCTCTGGTGCCCCTGGCAGGTCTGTGGTGCCCCTGGCAGGCCTGTGTTGACTGGTGCCCCTGCTAGGCCGCTGGTGCCCCTCACAGGCCTGCGGTGCCACTGGAAGGACTGTGGTGCCCCTGCCCCTAGGGGTGCTCATGGGCCCAACAGGCCCGTTGTGCCCCTGACAGGCCTGTCGTGTATACTTGCTAGACCTGTGGTGCCCCTGCTTCCTGGCAGGCCTGTGGTGCCCCTGGCGGGTCTGTGGCGCCCCTACAAGGCCGCAGTTGCCCGTGACAGGTTTGTGGTGTCCCTGGAAGGACTTTGGTGCCCCTGACAAGCCTGAAGTGTCAAGGACAGACCCTTTATACGCCAGGGTCAAGTTCGTCGGACTGACAACGATTTGCTTACCTGATAACGTTCCTGGTAAGTACTCACTACTCAGCGTCCACAACATATATACACATAGCACATTCATATATACTTGCTTACAATTGGTAAATGTGGTTGTGGCTAAGAGTTAAGATACTGACTGAAAATAATAAATAAAAAGAAAAAAAACTGAAAATGGGGGCCCACCAAAATGAAGTGGACGAAATCCGTTGAGTTTTTAATTTTGGGTATAGGTAGGGGCACCACTTCGATTCATGACCCTCCCCTTGGAGTTTTCCTGGATCCGCCCCAGGATGCATAGGACTTGCGTGGAGACCTCTTATGCTGTATTGGACTGAAAGGACCCAAAGGAGCCCGTCTAGGGCTCCCGGAGAATGGAGATAGACGTGGGCACTCAGGAGTCCGCCAGAGCCCCCAATGAGGGATAAGTGAGGGATACCAAGTGCCTGCAATTGCATATTGCATAAGCCATAACGCCTTTACAAATCAATATATTATGTATCAGTGGCAGATACAAGGGGGGCCACATGGGTCATGACCCCCCTTGGTGCCCGGGGGCACCACCGGCCAAGCAGGGGCACCACCGGCCTAGCAGGAGCACCACCAGCCCGCCAGGGACACCACAGGCCTAGCAAGGGCACCACGGGCCTGTGACGGGTCCCACAGGCTTGTCAGGGACACCCCAGGTCTGTCAGGGACACCAGAGACCTGCCAGGGGCACCACCGGCCTCACAGGGGCACCATGGGCCTGTTAGGGGCACCAGAGGCCTAGCAGGGGTACCACAGGCCTTACAGGGGCACCACCGGCCTTGCAGGGGCACTAGAGGCCTAGCAGGGGCACCAGAGGCCTAGCAGGGGCACCACAGTCCTGTCAGGGCCCAGGGGCACCAGGGGCCTAGCAGGGGCACCACAGGCCTGCCAGGGGCACCACCGGTCTTTATCTTTACAAATCAATATATTATGTATCAGTGGCAGATCCAAGGGGGGCCACATGGGTCATGACCCCCCTTGGTGCCCGGGTGGTGCCTGTCAGGGGCACCACCGGCCTAGCAGGGGCACCACCAGCCCGCCAGGGGCACCACAGGCCTAGCAAGGGCACCACGGGCCTGTGAGGGGCCCACAGGCTTGTCAGGGGCACCCCAGGTCTGTCAGGGACACCAGAGACCTGCCAGGGGCACCACCGGCCTCGCAGGGGCACCATGGTCCTGTCAGGGGCCCTGCCGGCCTCGCAGGCATCACGGCATCACGCAGGGGCACCTTGGGCCTGTCGGGGACATCACGGGCCTGTTGGGGGCGCTTTAGGCTTGTCAGGGGCACCGCAGTCCTGTCAGGTCCCAGGAGCATCAGCAGCCTAGCAGGGGCACCCTAGGCCCGCCAGAGCCACCACAGGCCTGCCAGGGTCCAGGGGCACCACAGGCCTAGCAAGGGCACCATGGACCTGTCAGGGGCACCTCAGGCTCCCGTGCCCCCCCCCCCCCCCTGGATCGGCCAGTGATGCCACACCACGCGAAACACCGCCAACTACCAGCTGCCGCGCCATAAACACGTGCCAACAACAGTCTTTTTTAAGGTCGACTCCTCTCGCGCAACTTTTGACTGACCCTCACTGCTACCATATTGCTTCCATATTATGCTGCGGAAAGCTTTACTTCACCAAGTGGCTAAAAACCTCCATCAAGGTATATTTTCTTAGCATTTTTTCGGACGTTTTGGGGGGGGCCAAACCGGCCACTTTAGGCCTTTGGGGGGGGCCATGGCCCCCGTGGCCCCCCCTGGATCCGCCAGTGACTTGCCTTGGCAAATGACGGGGGAGAATTCACGTTCTGAGTGGTTTGACTAACAATTATTTGAATGATGCCAGATGGTGGAAAGTTTGCGTACCTAGACTTATAACATCCCATGTCGGGAGGTGATCTTGAAGTGGAAATACGATAAACTATCTGAATATTTAACCCGAACCGAATGTGTCTTTCGATAAATACTTTCGACATTGTGTGGTAGACTAGCGCCTTATGTCGGAAAACCCAATTTTGAGTTGTTCCTGGCCTGTCGGCGGATTCAGGTCAGGACGCTATGGAACTTGATTGATGCTTATCGTGAAATAAAGGAACGTTTTCTGACTCTCATTGGTGTCTTGCCGTCTCGCTACCTCATTTTTTTCTTTCAGGAAGACGCAAAAAGCAGAATGACTCGGCTGCTCCCGAGTCACATACTGAGTGATCGCACAGGGACGCGACTCGGCTGTTCGTAGTCACCACGTCACCAGTCACCGTGTCTGGGCGACTATGAGCGGCACCACCCGAAGCCGAGCCCGGAACACCGCTGTCCAGCCCTCAGGTGACCAAACAGGGACACAATGAGGAGCAGAGGTCCGCCGGAAACTATAACAACAGCTACCGAAAACGGCTCCTTCTCCGGACCGGAGTGACGGGGCTGCCCCCGCCCACGGGCGCCTGAAACCCCGTCTCCACGCACGGCCATGGCCCCAGCGCGGATCCCGATAGGCGGCGGAGCGGCGCTGGCACCTGGGACTCGACTGGCGCAGACCGGAGCAGCGACTCTGGGCGCCCCCCACCCGCCGCCCGGCCGCGTATTCGCAAACTGTGTTAGACGAATCGGCCGACCAATAGCGTGCCTCTTGAGTGACGTCAAGGCAGCGTCATACACTGCGGTCTTGGTTGCGTGTATTGAAGCTAGGTTTTATCTTAACAATATTTAAGCCGTGCGATCCTCGTGATCGCGGTAGCCGAGTGGTCAGAGCAGCAGTATGGTGATCTGGAGGTTGGTGGTTCGAATCCCATCGCTAAATTTCGTTTTCGTCTCATCTGTCAATATATGCTCTTTGGCTTTGTTCGCAACGGCGTACAACTAAGAAATCAGAGGTAAGTATTCTTCAGCAAAGAATATGCTGCATAAGAGAAATGTTTACAGTCCAACCGATCTACCATGGACTGTTGCGGCACTGCGATACTGTTAAAATGGAATCGTCAAAGATTTTCCTTCACGCGAATTTGGAAGCAATAGTTTGGAATCACGGAAGTGCGGCAGATATCGCGCATGTTCCGTTTGCTTAGCGCCCACAGTCGTAACAGTCTCTAGCAGTCTGGTCAAGTCTCAGTCTAGGAATTACTCACGTTCGGTGTTCTAAATTTTACGGCTTGTGCGTCTGGGTTCAGGTTATGATATTTCAATATGGATGTGTTGCATTCCGAACTTTTCCGAAACAGTAACTTCGACAACGTCATCGTCAAATCCACTGCAACTGGAAGCCAAATTCTCAGAACGAACGTCAGCAGCGAAGCAGAGCTTGCTCTGTGGAAAGAGCTGTACTGCCGCGCATCAAAAACTTCACTCAACGTAATTTACTCACGAAACCCTGTCGGTGAACGCATATTTTTTAGCCAAAAACTGCTGTGCCAATTTGGAGATAAAAGACACAAGGGAGTGAAGAAGCACAACACAGGGTAAGTAAATACTACTGATTTTAGCATAAGCATCGACAAACATCAGTTGGTGGAGTGAAATGTAATGTAAAAAAAAATGAAATAGACAGCATGAAATATCATGAAAGGCCACTAGCAGGTTTTTTACCATAACTTAAAACTTTCGACTAAGATGGCCTAGAGCAGTGCAAACACGTCAAATGTGTTCAGCTCTGAAAACACGCTAGATCTGTTCAGCTCGACGACACAGATCGACTGATATGTAGCATGACCATTTCCGGTCAGGTCCTGACCTTGATCTGAGGTTAAATTTTCAATTTTCAAAATGACCTTTCAAAGGTCGACGTATAGTTCATTTGACACGTTTCAACGAGAGAAACTTGATTGTGGCAAAATTAATGTGGTAGATTTTGTGAGTGAAAAGTTATTACCTAAAAACATTTTACGTAAAGACTGTTATTTTTGGAGTTTTTGCCCTCTGGAGGCTAAGCTGTTGACCTGAGGTCAAATCTGAGAGCATTGCTCAGAAATGCCTGTAAAAGAGCAGTGGAATGCACTTTTCCGTAGCGCTGTAGCTCTTTTGGCTCCCGAGCTATGCGTTGGATATTTCGAGAATTGTTGAAATAGGCAAAATTTGACCTTTGATGACCTCTGGTGACCAGACCTCTGACCTGATCTGGAAAAATGACGGAAGTCTGTACTTCCATCATTATTTTTGAGGCTCTTTCGAATGCCGCTAACCACGTGTCGCTACGTGGCCCAGGGCCTGAGTTACACGGGGGCGTGACCCCCCCCCCTCCCCAGCACGACACGGAAAATTCAGACCACCAGCACGGCACGGGCTAAGAGCTTTTGAGATGTGTTACCCGCATTTCTACGATAATTGTTCGGCACTTGAGGGAGGTACAATCAGCCCTCCCCCCAAGCCCCCCTCCCTCCAGCGAAAGGAGGTCCATTCAACCCTCCTTCGATTTAGAGATTTGGGTGTAGCCTTATTAAACTGCATGGAAAATAACTCACGCCATGTCATAACAAAAATGATTATTTACAGATGCTCCTTCAGGATGCATATCCAGATCAAGAAAGCGAGTACGCGGAAGAGGAAGGACGACAAACTGCTCGACACTCATCCATGTATCATCGTCGTGACTGGAGAGCACAACCATGCAGCGTGTGCAAAGGCGCTGAAAGAGCTTCGAGTGCTCCCTGAGGTGGAAAAGGAGTTCTTTGAATACTTTCACCGAGGTAAGTAAAGTTATGATGAGGCATCCGCTCTTCCTTCTCCAATCCTCACTTGTTTTGTCCTTGTTAACATGATTTCTCCTTTCCTGACATGTTGTCATTATCAGTACCTACCCAATGCAAATAAGCAGACAAGCAGTGTCTTGTACCAACGGTTATTGATCGATGTAATTAAAGCGACATGCAATGTTCCGTTCTTTGTGACAGCCGACTTTTGATCTAGTAATTACATTGTATCGAAAAACATTAGGTATATGTGACGGAAGTGGAACCTAAGAAAACTGGGAAGGCAAGGAAACCACAATCGAAATGGTATACACAATGAAAATAACAACACAAAGGAATTGCATTGGCGTTGTAGAAAACGACAACTATTTCATCAGATACCTAAGTAAAATAACTTCTATTTCTCAGGCATGGGCGCAGCAGAGGCGCAGCGGTACCATCGCCTGAAGCTCGATCTGGGGTCGGAGTTCTGGATGGAGCACGCCCGCGCCGATACCAACCCGACGCTCCGATCCGTACAGTACATGCGAGAGAAGTGGGCCAAAGCAACTGTTGGAGGCTACAACGACGAAGACATGTTCGACGCGCTAAAAAGGTACGCAGCTACCACTAAAAGCGTGATCGAGGTTGAGAGAAGCAGCTCGGGCTCATTCTGCGTGGCTCTGGTGACGCCGTTCATGAAGCGCGTCCATGCCCTCCGAGAGGCTGGAGAGGTGGTGTTTGTTGACGCCACAGCTTCTGTCGATCGTCTAAACACCGCGGTCTTGCCGCTGCTCTGCTGCAGCCCTGCTGGAGCCCTGCCTTTGGGAGTGGTGTTCTCCTCATCTCAAGACGAGGCTCAACTGACAACAGGTATGCTTGACCCCTTTCGTTACTTGTTTGCATGACGTTACGTTTATTGTATGGAGCTTTGGTTTTCAAGTGTTTTGTCATTGACAATGACTGTCCCTCGCAACTGCTTAAGATCTTCTGGGGCACATTTGCCACTGCAAGGATACGTGTTTCCCCGCGCCTTATGACCAGCTGAGCTGCTCGTGAACCTCGTGAATGGCAAGACAATCTCATGAAATGCTTACTAGATGCTTATGGAGCTGTGCGTTCAGCACTGCATTTGTGCAGTAATGTCGTGAGATGTTTTTGTGTGTGTGTGTCGTGATGGGGAATACAAACTGTTATATTTCCAGGGTCACCATTTATTTCCGCTGTATTAACACTGCCAACGGGAGATGGCTGATAGTTCCCCACCATCGTATAAACCTCCAACAGGAACCATTTTATCTGTTGCAGGCTTCCAGCTCCTCCAGAAAGCTGTCGGCAGTGGAGCCTTCAATGGACGAGGGCATCCTTCCGCTTTCATCACGGACAACTGCGATGCTGAACGAAGGGCACTGCGGACCGTCTGGCCTGAAGCCGAACAGTTCCTCTGCGTTTTTCATGTACTGCAGCAGGTCTGGAGGTGGCTCCTAGACAGCAAACACGGCGTCCCGAAGGACAAACGACAGGAACTGATGCGCATCATGCAGAAACTGGTGTATGCGGAAAGCCCAGAACGCTTTCAGGCTCTCCTGGCTGCAGAAGACATAACCCATGAAGGTTTCGCCAGGTTAGTGGATCTTGTCACGAGCCTAATATTTGATCCAAGTTACGTATGCTGATCATTACTCACAGCTTCACTGAACCCAGGCCAAATTATGGGTAATAATGAATATTTTATATCAAATTCCACACAATTTTTGGTAATAGCTCACGATGACTAGGAAATTTTCCAACACACGGGTGACTGAGGGGGGGGGGGGTGCTCTACAGAACCTGCCCCCATCTCCGAAAGTACTGGACCGATTGTCAAAATTCAAACGGCATTTGATATGCTATATTTCTGATTTCACTGATGACGGCTAATGCAGCAACGATATTAGTTTTGATTTTGTGTACGCCCTAGCACCTAATCAGTATTCAACCAATGGAAGTCGGCAGTTATTCATGTATTTCTGGTCCCAAAATAAGGTTTCAAAGGAAGTAGAACTTTAGATGAGGCTTGTGTGCTCCCAGCTTCAGATTGACAGGTGTCAGAACGACCTAACCGTCACACTTCGGCAGAATGCGCCCCGTTCAACTCGAGTTGAGGGCGAAGATGAGGGTAGTTAAGCTGTTTGAACCCTTTTCTTGACACGAACAGTACACGAACAGTGGGTCCACACTTGCTTTAGAAGCTAAGCGAGCAAGTTCATGTAATATTGAACTGATCGTCTTTCAGGTACATGGAGGGCCTCATCGAAAGGCGCGCTGAATGGGCGATCGCGTACCGCCAAGGATCCGCACTTCGAGGGAACCACACGAACAACTATGCGGAGGCCACGATGTGCATCATCAAAGACATCGTCATGAACAGGTAATTATCAGCCCCTACATCAGTTCCGTTCTAATCTGCTTTGCCTTTTTCGTTCAAGGTATGTTTCCCTTCTTATTCGCTGTAGCATACATTAATGATGGTATTTCTTCACACGAACCTTGAGTGATGGACCAGCGGCATGCGAATGTTTTACTGAATATTATACACTATACAGCCTACCACTCCAGTCGCACAGTCGATCCCCCGATGTTATGTCGTCATCTCTTCTGTCCGTAATTATTGGCCAACTCGCAGTGCCTTACACTTATATTAGAATATGAGTATAAAACTGCCTTTCTGGGACCACTTCATGATAATTTTTGCTGCCAGCTTTTTGCAATTTGGCATCAATTCTGCTTTGTGTATGAAATTTTTACCCAAGGTCACCCACCCAAGGTGACGTCACCAGGTCAAGTTTAGCAGCAATGCTTCTAAAAATGTGATCCTGTCATTCCTACAGCTTATCACCCATGAGTTTGAAACGCAGTGCTTCAGAGTTTGATTATGGTGACAGGCTGCATGGAACTTTAAGTTTCTTATTTTATTGATGACTTGATCTAAGGCAGATCAATTTTGCGAGTCCTGTGTTAACCCGCGCCCCACTGGGGTCTGCGTATAATACGCCCTACTGGGGGGGGGGGCTATTCATAGCCCCCCCCCCTCCTAACTCCGAAACTACTCGGCCGATCGTCAAAATTCAAACGGCGTCTGATAGCCCCGGAAAAACTGTCGAGCGAAGCCTAATTTCATTGACCTCGAGGTCACCGATGACGTCACAGGTCAGGTCAAAGTCAAAATTATTAGCATTTTGGCTTGTTCACGTTTTGGGCTCTGGCCGCCGTCTTACAAGTCAGATCAGGCTCATTTTTGGATCACACACTCGGGAACAGATGCTCTAGTTACCCTGAGGGTACCAAACTTGTAAAGGTCTCGCGGTTTTTAGGGGTAGGTTTTGCACCTAGAAAATTTAGTGTACTTCAGGCTATATCTTCGTCGTCTTAAGCTTTTAAGTGTTGAAGATGCGATCGACTTGTTGGGTAACAAGCCGGCCATGATCGTGTAAAATGGCTTCATCGTAGATCGATTAGTTTCTGAGATATAACCGGAAATGTAAAAGTGCAAAACCTACCGCTTAATCTCGCGAGACCTGTACTTTGATTTTCAGGTCAAGGTCAGGTCATCACAGGTCACGAAAATATTATATCATGCGTCGGTCACGTGACACATGTTTTATGGTCCATTTAGGTCAGAGATTTCGAATTTGATGTCGTCTGTGTCATTCGAGGTCATTTTGAGTCGAATTTAGCTTAGGTCAGGTCACATTCAGGTCAAAAAAGGTCAAATTTTGAAGTTTTAATGTTTCAACAAAAACGGTGTCTATTGGATGCAGTTTGAGCTCAGGAACACGATGGTGCTATTTATATTGGCGTACGATATCAAATACGTGCTGAAAAATTGATTTGAAAAATTAATAATTGTGATTTTTTTGCATTAATGAGTAAAACTTGCCCATTTTTGAAGATATTTAGCTAAAACTTGCTAGAGTTAGTCATAATAATGCGTTTTATCACATATATTCCGGTTTTTTCGAAAAGTCAAAAACCTTTTGAAAAAAATGTAAAAATATAAATTTTGGATATTTATTATATTAAATTTTCAAAATTTTTGAAATTTCGAAAATCCGAGATAGTAGTTTGATAGCGCAGTCTATTCTGAGTCCTCTCATGCAAAGAAATTGGATCTAGCTTAAAAACTGAGCTCTTGGGAGCGATTGCCGTGGTTCAATGTTTTGCGTCGAAATCGGCCGAACATGACGTCACTCTGACGTCATTTCCGGCCGACCTATAGTAGTTACGAAGTTCAAAATTTTACACAAGGTGTCAAATTGATGCAGCCTAAGGTACTGAAAGTTTGGCGTCGATACGTCAAGCGGGTTGGAAGTTATTGCAGAAAAACGGGAGGGGGGGGGGCTATGAATAGCCCCCCAGTGGGGCGCGGGGCGCGGGTTAATTTTTCAAACCTGAACAAACATATGCAAAGTAACAAACATATCTATAATCGGATGTTTCTTTGTGTGTGTGTGTGGGGGGGGGGGCATTCTAGCTTTATTTCCCCACGGCATATGAACAAATCTTGTTTTGTTTGTGTTAAAGAGGACGTAAAACGCCCCTCCCCTCACCCCCGTGTGTTACGATCGGATTACCGCCTTTGGCGTGGCTTGCTTATTGCTTACTTACATGCTTGCGACATGAAATACATTGGTGAATGTTGCCACGATTGGATTGGTCTGGACCAAGTCTGGACATGCCTTACGACACCGAACTGCGTTCAAGTCTTAACACATTCCTCATCTGTTTCTGATTTCTTTCGCAGGTGTAAAGCGCGCAACGCATGCGAGCTTATCGTGCTCATGGACGAGATCTACAACGGCTACATGGTGCAGCGCCTGATCGACTTCGCTCTTGGCCGTCGCCAAAGCAAACGTTTGGCACCACCTACCATGAACGAGGCTTCCATCACCAGAGTAGACGACCACCACTTCCGTGTGGCGAGCGAATCGGACCCGAACGTCACATACGATGTGGCTATGGACGTGGGAGTCTGCTCGTGCCCCCAGGGGCAATCGGGTGCCATCTGCAAGCATCAGCTGGCCTGCTCTCATGTGACAAACATGACTCTGCCACAAGCCTTCAAACCCTCTGCCGAGAACCGACGCTGGCTGATGTGCGTGGCGGTGGGTGAGGACAAAGCTCCAGACGTCAGCTTCTTTGGAGAGTTGACAGATGCGCCAATAAGCGAGAAAGTGGCGACTGAGCCCATTCTTCCGAAACCGTCAGAGGGCGACTCGGGCCACCCAGGTGGAACTGAAGATGCTTCCTGTGCGATCTGGGACGATGACGACTTTGAAGCCGCGGTTCCAGGACCGTCATCGTCAGCGAACGCCTCCGAGACCGTCGATGTGAGCCCGTCCGAGCTCCGACGAGACTCTTCAGTCGGGCAGAAACCATCGACGGAGGTGATCGACGGATATTGGTCTACCATGCGGCGTGCGCTCCTCAAGTACGGGGATGGACAAACGAACAGTGCGCTGATAAGGGCGACAGGTACGGTGGCTGCACTGAAGACGAGCAACCAGCTGAACAGCTATCTGCAGTCAGCTGGACCGCGCTCAGAGTGCCTGAGCAGGGGTGGTGCTGGGCGAGGCAAGATACGCGTCCAGCCCACTTCAATCAGTCGGCGGCCTGAAGGGCAGCCGCGTGGCGCCGCTCGGCTGGGAAAGGGGCGGCGCCCGAAGGATTGCGGAGGAGCCACGGCGCCTGCAAAGCGCCGCCGATGCCTGGCTGGCAACGTTAGCGCTAATGTACCGAATGCGAAAGGACATGGTGCTGGGCATTGATACGTGACTTCTCTACCAACTGGTGATTTGTATTGGTGTGTATTTGCATAGATAGCACGTGGCTTATCTGCTGGATATGCTGCTGGCTTATCACCTTTTATGAAACTGTTCGGCTGTGTTCATATGCATTGCTGTACAACTGCGACTGTACAAATACTGCATGTCTTGTGCGTTTGTGAAAGCATGCATGTTATGCTGGATATGCACCATGGAAGCACCTTTTATGAAACTGTTCGGCTGTGTTCATATGCATTGCTGTACAACTGCGACTGTACAAATACTGCATATCTTGTAGGTACGTTTATCTATGACTTAATACAGCAATCCGTTGTCATTCGGGTGTGTTTCGTAATAGCTCTTCCAACTTTGACGAATATCGACAGTGCCGTAACAAAATGGGTAATTCGTGTACAGACTGCAACCAAACTGGTACAAGTTCTTTGACAACATATTCCTTAATCAGATGAATACTTTTCATAGATTTTTGGGCGTGCGCTATCGGCGTGCAAACGAAGGGGGCCAAAAATGCGCGTCTACGACCGACGTCTTTAATTGAAAACAATGGAATCAGTGGGAATGGATCCACCCCACTCTCGATTACCAGACCGAGACTTTAACCACTCGGCTACGGCGACTCATCTTCATCATCCTTCAACTTTGCAAAACCTTACAACTCAAATCTGCCTCAATGCATGCATTATCGCGTTGGATGGCTGTGACGTCACACTAGAGATGTCGCTAGTTGGATAGCCGATTCGTCTAACACAGTTTGGGAATACGCCGCCCGGCCGGTCGGCGGCCGACTGCCGTGCCTCTGCCACGGGAGGCGCCGCCGCGTCCCTGTGGGCAGGGGCGACGCCAGGCACGGCGCCGGAGGAGCCGCTAACACCGGCCGAGCATCCCATACCGTGGAACCGTACGGCTTAGCCTTAGAAGATGGTTTACAAGCAAGGCCGTCAACAAGAAAACTGGTTCCAACGCCACCCGGAAGAAATTTGGAAAATTAAACCGTTAACATGTTCACAAGGCAGTTTGCAGCACATTATATTCATGTCGGCAGAATCCAGATCCAGAATGGTGGCAACAGGCGGTTTGACAAGGGTTATCGAACACAATTATTTTGGTCACATTTGGTACGATTACATTTGGACACATTTGGTACGATAACTGAGGGACATTGGATGAGGGGCGATAACTAATGGCGGGAACAGACAGTGATAAGTGAGGGAGATTGGACAGGACAGGGAGGAGGGGACAGGACAGGGAGTGATTACTAATAGAGGTCGCGCACACGTCTACTTAAACTAAAGGCGGGAATCGGCTAACGAATACCTCCGAAAAAATCACAGCCCTTTACTCACTCGACATTTTCAATTGAAACTGTCAACACCATATTAACAAAAAGAAGCCAAGCAAAATTAATGAAGTCAAAAGGCTTTGGAAAATTGAAGCGTAACAAATGTATTAAGCCAGCATGTATCTTGTCGGCAAAATGTAGACTCAGAATGAGCGGCAACAGCCGTTTTCATCAAGGCCTATCGGGCACACACTTGGTCACATTTGGTGCGATTGTCAAATTAGGCCCATAGTTGATTCTTAGTAGTTTTC